GAAGCTTGTATGCCACACAAAATTGGGACCCCCTGTTCTAACACACTGGGATGAGAGCTAATTCCCCTCTAGAGAATTGTGCACAGTACCTGACATGTGGGCCGTCAATGTTTTGATACATAAGGCACTCTAGGACTAATGATCCACAACTAGAATCCTGAGGAGTCTGAGAAAGTCAGCTCTTCTGGACTAACACCACCATGTGCAAAAGTTAGTGATTTTACTCGACAGCCTGTGGTTTGGGGGCAAGTAATTTTACCGGTTTATGTCTTAACTGCCTCACCAATAAGATGAGGACTAGTGTTAAAACTGCATTAAATAAGTAATGTGTGAATGACAAAACAGTGCCTGGCAATTAGCATGGGAAATAAAGATATTTGCTATGGTAAAAAATTTGAAGTCTCAAGATACTCATTTTGGATTGCAGAGGATGGAAAGAAAAAAATAAGCAAACTATATTTTTTGTCACAAATTCACAGTAGATGTTATTAAACAATGGGAAGTCTAGATCAAAGAGTAACTATAATTACCTCAAGATGCCAAGGTAAATGTGAAAACCAAGTTTGATTTCAAATTTGTGCTATCTGTCCTCTATATAACTCTGCCTCTTAGGATTAATACTTACTCAAAAGATTGTTGTGGTGATTAAAGAATATTATGTATGTAAATTTGCTCTGCAAGTTGGAAAGTAGTATACATTGTATGAGTAAGATAATTTTTCACACACTGTTTTAGGTTTTAATTTTAGGTTTCAAAACAAAATTTCCCAAGTGGATTTGTTTAAAGAGAAAGAACTCACCAGAGTCTCTGACTTCTGAAGTTTTTCTTCAACCAAAGTGGAAAAAAAGAATGTTTTTAGGATCTCCTGGAGAGCAAGCTAATAAAAACATCAGACCCCTTTGGAAGTTGCAAGCATCAATATGTATTCTGTTGCCCATAACAACCAATTATCATGTAATATTTTGGGATCATAGATAGCATTTTACAGAGTAACTTAAAAAAATCTCCAAAGGGGCATCACAGAGTTTGCAATTTGCAATTTGTCAACTAGTTTTTTCTAGATGGCTTTAATCTTTTAGAGTTTCATCTCCTACATCTACCTCAATGGTCCCTTCTTAGGAATCCAAAGTTTCTTTTTTCAGCCACTGATAAAAAAGAGAACCTGAAGTTTCAAGCCTACATACAGGATTTCATTTGCTATATTTATATCAGAAATATGTCCACCTCTTAAAGCGCTGAGGATAAAAGATGCACATTAAAGAGCACATAGTAATTAATCCTGGATTGGAAAGAAAGAGGCTATAAAGGTAAATCAAGAATATATGATATGAAAGTCATTCTGAAGGGAAAAGAAAACCCATTTGAGGATTTCATGCAGGGAAGTACCAAGATAAAGATCTTTGCTGGATAATGATGGGAGAACTTAGGCATAGTAGAGGGAAAGATGAATGAGGGGAGTGGCGGTGAGCTGGACTAAAGTGTTTAGGAGGCAGAATCCAAAGGATTAGGCAATGACTGGACATGAGGAGTGAAGGAGAGGGTAGTCAAGTGCCAGAATTACTAAGACTGTACCACATGCTCCAGTTCTTGTTCCTTCCTGGCATACCCATCAACCCTTAGGATTTAGCTGTGGCCATGTAATATTTTCAGGCCAGTTAAGAGTGAGATTACTTACAGGCAGAAACTTTAAAAGTCAAGTGCAATCCCCCATAAAACAGTAATAAAGTACAGGATGGTAGTTTTGTCAGCATGGTTCTCAGAGTAAAACTGACATAAAACCTTCTCCCAAATCAAGCCTGACCTCCACTTAAGTCAAGTGGAATAAATATACCTTTGCTTGTTAGTCCCATGAGATGTGAAAGTTGTTAATGTAGCACAATTCAGCCTATCCTGACTAATCCAGTAAGAAAGTAATCATGGTCATTTGAGATATGTATCCAGATAAGAAGAGAACTTAGAAACCCAAACTATAAAGTTAGAAATCTGTCTGAATAGGCAGCAAATCAGTAGATACACGATTAAAACATTAAGAAAAAAATAACTTTACCAATGTTACTCCATTTTTCAAAGAAAGAAAATTTAAACATATACTTGAGAAATCAAATTGTTTATGGTTTTAGAATATTATATTATAAACTATTTGGTACATATCTTGTATTTTGAGAATTTCAAAAAATTGAGTGTCTTTATTTCTCCTTTTCTTGAACATATGGGAGAAGGAAAGACTTATGGTTAAGAACAGAAAAACAAGGGAAGCCTCTTTCTTTTTCCAATCAGGTCTGCCTTTAAAATGTAAATGTAAATACTTCCACCATTAATAATAAGAACTAGCAATTATTAAGCAGTGACTATATGCCAGGCAAAATACTTAATATTTGGCTGGGCACAGTGGGGCACACCTGTAATTCCAGTAGCTCAGGAGGCTGAGGCAGGAGGATTGTGAGTTCAGAGCCAGTCTCAGGAGCTTAGTGAGGCCCTAAGCAACTTAGTGAGACCTTGTCTCTAAATAAAATATAAAAAGGGCTGGGGGGCTGGGGATGTGGTTCAGTGGTTGAGTAGCCTTGGGTTCAATTCTCACTACCACACACACACACACACACACACAAAAAAAAAAAAAAAAACAAAAAAACACGTTAATAGCCTCACTACATTAGTTTATTTAACATTACACTCTATACATTTTACAGATGAGGAAACATAGAGAAGGCCACACAACAGAGACTAAGTTAGGACTATTTCCAAAGCCTATGCCTCATATAACCACTATACATAACTTTCTCAAAGATAAGTCCTGATAAATTGAGTTTAAATGGAATTTTCTTTAAAAATGGAAATTTCAACAATAGGGAGATAAGTAGAAAACAAAGAGAAATATGCCCTTAAAAAGGCAGATGCAGGCAGTTATGAGGTGGATAGAGTAGATGCAGGATGAACAATATGTAAGAGACATACCCAGTGGCTTCATAATCTACTCTGCTTACGGTTATGAGTAAGAATTTTTCATTAAGATGCACTCACTGTATCAGCAGATTCTGGGTTCAAACCTCAGCTTTGTCATTTGTTAGGTGACTCTTTACAACTTCCTGGATGGTTGAGTCTCCATCTTTCTCAGAAAATTGGTGACTATATTACCTACTTCAATAGACCTTTTTTTTTCTTCTCTTCTCCTTCTCTTCTGACCCCACAATATCAAATTAAACAATGCCTCTCATCAAACTTGGTTTCAACATGAATACCTTATTTCTAAGTACAAAAATCTTATTTCTAAGTATTTCTAAGTACAAAGTACAGTCTCTTACATATTTAATACGTAAGAGACATTATCAAAAGAAAAACCTATTATCAAGCAATAAATGCATGAGTTATGAAGATATAATATACAACAACAAAAAAATAGGACCATGGGTTAAGACCCTACCATCAGACCACAGTTCCAAGTTCAATACCATCTATTTACTGGCTAGGTAACTATGGTTAATAGCAGAAACAAGAACCATAGAAAACAAAAGCCAACATGTGAGTCCTTGCTAAGCCAGGCTGTATATATTCATTTTATGTAATCTTCTCAATAACACTATCAAGTAGGTACCACTACTTTCCCCATATTACTAAGAAACTGAAGCGCAGATAGAATAAGAAACTTGACCAAGGTCATCAGATTCTAACACATACAAACTCAAGAGCAGCAGCCCCGTGCTCCTAATTAGTAGACAATTAACATTGTATAATAAGTGCATAATCACCTTCTGCAGGGCTGACTTAAGGATTAGAAATAATATATGGAAAGAGCCCAGAAAGACAGTCAGCACAGAGTAGGTGAATGAGAAGACACAAGGATACAAGTTATACTGCAGGACAAAGCAGAACCATCAGAAATCAATCTATACAGCTTCCTTAGTGCCAACATTCTTTCAAAGTCTTAGGACAATTAATGTATTACCCAAGGTTGGGTCAAAGTTCATGTGTATATTTCATAATATAAGAAGCTATGAAAAGATAAAAACTTAAGGCTGAAACTATAACAGACTACTGCTATATCACTTTACTTCAATAGTTTTATTTTAACTGAAGGGTTGAGATTCTGGGACTCTATAAACTCGGTAGTTTAAAATCACTGAATTTGGGAAACTGAGTCATCTAATTTGAAGTCAGATAAGTTTAATAATTTGTTCCAAACTCAAAAGGTTTGTAAAGACCAGATTCCTTTTTTCCCACTGGATGGTCTCCTCACTAGTAGTATTTCTATCTTGAGTCAGTTGCATAGAGAAAATGCACATTAGATATGGAAACCTAAGTAGAGTAAGCAGAATATATGTATACAAGGGCAGAAAAGCTATAGGGTGCATATAAATAAGGAAAATAGATGATCATTGAAAAAAAAGGTTTTCTGTCCTATTTTGTTTTATTTACACTCAGTAATTTCAAGATAAAGTTCCTCCAAAGAAAGATAAACAGGAGAATTTTCTCCTTTACATGATATTACAGCAAATCATTTGAAGGGGGAAAAAGTCCTATTGTAAATATAGAAAACTCCAAATTCAGGAGAATTCAGTGTTCACTTAATTATGTCTTTCACGTCCGTATCACCAAAAACGAGTCAAAATCCTGGATGCATTTATGCAGTTAAGAGAGAAAACTAGGAATGTGAGGCTGTACTCCCAAACTCCTGCAAAAGTTGCTACAGAAATAAGGTAACAAATGTTAAAAAGGGGCATTTTAATTCATGTCCCCCTTCACAGTTAAAAGGATTCTGCATTTTTTAGGCATTTTTAATGCCCCCAAAAAACACTTCTTTCTCGACCAGATCGCCTTCTGAGAACGCATCTTTGTTTTGTTTTACTTGTAGGATCAATTTCTCAGGATACTATGCAAAGTAACTGTTAACTCCTATTGCCAATGTCACTTCTCCGCTGGTATTTACCTGCTGAAGCACCCTCCCTAAAAGCGAAAAAGACGGCTCAAAAACAGACCTGGAGAGAGACCAGTAGAACACTACTTACCGAAAACACTGCATTCTGAAGCCCAAAAGGTATGGGGGTCAATCTGGCCAGCGCCACCACCTTCAGGCCGCTTCCTCCCTCCACGACGCGAATAACTGCGCTCAGCTTCTCGCTACTCTGGATCTTGGCGGCCACCCAGGCGGTGAGCAGCCGCTTGCAGACCACATGGGCGATGAAGGTGCCGATGAGGACGCCCACCACCATCAGACCCATGCCCAGTACGAAGCCATACAGGTAGCCGGCGGCTACGTTGAGCACGATGTAGCCCCAACCGCAGGGAAATGAGACCACGATGAAGCCCACCACGAAGAGCAGGACCCCCAGCAGCGAGTCAAGGCTCTCCACCCAGAGCAGGAGATGCTGCAGGTAGCGGCGGACCAGGGCCAGAGAAGCGAAGCACAGGGCGGCCAGCACACAGACCAGCACGAGGCTCCGGCACCAACAGGTGCTGCCGAGGCAGCAGCAGCGCCAGTTTCTCACCTCGGCCACCCCGACCACCACGCCGCCGCCGCCGCCGCCGCCGCAGCTCCCGGGGCCGCCCGCCAAGGCCCCGCCCGGCGCCGGCACCTCAGAGGCCGCGGGCTGACCGTGGCGCTCCAGATAGGCGCCGAGCAGGGCGCCCGAGGCCGCCGCCGCCGCTGCTGCCGCGCTCGCCCCGCCCCCGCGGGGGAGGCGGTCCGCCGAGTCGTCCCCGCCCGCCGCCCGCACCAGGGCCCAGCCGGATGGCAGCTCTGCGCGGCCCGGGCGGACGGCGTGCTGCAGGAGCCGGGGGAGCGCCTGAAGCAGACTCCCGCCTGGGCTCCGCATGCCTCCGCCCGGCGCGGGTCCTCTCAGCCAGCCAGCCTCTCCGCCGCGGCGTCCGTCAGGCGGCAGCCCTCCATGGCGCCCCGCAAGCTGGGCCTCGACTCCCTGCGTCCGCTTGGGTGACGGGAGACGGCCCGCAGAAGGGCGAGGAGTTGGCTGAGGAGCGACAGTCGGGCAGAGAGAGGGGGAACTCCAGACCCCTCCGACGGAGTCCGCCCCTTTTCGGCCAGAAGGGGCGGGGCTGCGGGCGCGCGGGGGCGGGTACGAGCCGCGTTCCGGCCCCGCCCCCGTGACGCACAGCCCCTGAGGCTGAGGGCCCTGCAGCGTCTGCGTTGGCAAGCCAGCGCCTGGASCCCTGCGTGTCCGCGGGGAGGGGAGAAGAGCCGCGGGAACACACGCGCCGGGGCAGGAGCTGCTGCAGTGAGGCGGAAAGTGGACCCTGGGGCTGAATTGGGGGGCGAGGGACTGCGCGCTCCCGGCCTTCCCAGACGGGCGCGCCCGTGCCTGCGTGTCAGTGCACGCGCTCTTCTCAGACCAGCAGACCCCTGTCCGCTAGCTGGTTGGATTCTCGTCCAAACCTCGAGTGATTTCCGCAGTAAACCCTGATCCGGGTTGGCAAGTCTGTGGCACTTCCATCCCAGCAGTCTTGGCAGACGTTGGGGGGGGGGGATTCTTGGTGTCTTCTGCGGAGGATTTGCTAATTGCCCTCCACCCTCCCTTCCCTCTTTAGGAGCTGAAGAAATTGGGTATGAAAGGCCACCCTTGACACAATGTTCCTTCTCACTCCAGTGGTTCTTTATTGAGTGCCGGTACCACTGTACTAGGGGCCCTGGAAGAATGCACAGGAGGACATTTCTTAAGGGGTTGTGCCTTCTCAAACTCACTGGCTTCTTCTTTTTTTGCCCTTTTAATGTTAGTGTTCCCCAGGTTCTCTTAGTTGTATACACATCCTGATGAAATTTTTCAAACTCAGCATAACTTGATTGATAACAACTTGGGCTCTGGTGGAAAACAGGTTTAGTACCTGTGTAACTGCTCAAGTTGTTAATCTCTCAATCTCAGTATTTTTTTTTAAAACTGCAAGTTAAAAATAGGAAGAAGATTAACTTGGTATCAAATCGGTGTTAAGTAAATGTTATGTGATGGTATCCACACATAAAAGTATCATCGAATGTAGACCTGCTCTTTCTTTTAAATTTCTCACCTCAGTTGATGACTCCACGTCCAGTTCCCTGCAAAATAACTAACCAAGACGCTTTGGGTTCTTGCCGATGAGGTGCGTACTTGCTCCTTCACATCATTACACTCAATCCTCCCTGTTTTGACCTGGTCGGCTGGAGTCCCTCCAATGTGCTGGGCACTTGCTGCTTCCTTCACCTGCTTTTCCAACTCCTGTGGCTCACTTGCAGACCCTGGTCCTACTGTTTTCTCCTCATTTAGCTGAATTTTCACTTCTTGTCTGGAAACATTCCATACTACCTTCCCATTACCATCACACCCAATTGGAATTTCCTGTCCTCTCCCAGGTTACCTTTCTACATAGTTATTACCACATCTGTCCCATTGTGTTGTAATTTTTCATTTACATCACTGTCTCCCTCTTCAGACTTTGAATTTCTTCTAGGTGGTCCATTACTTATTTAATCAAAGAAACAGTATTTTTTCAAAGTACAAATTATTGCAGAAATGAAAGAAATGAAGAACGAGGAAGCAAAAGACTAACAGAAGACATGCCCGAATTGGAATTGCCTGGGCAAGAATCCATAAGAATCTGAAATAGGGTAATAGTCTGGACTTAGTAAAATGGGGATAAACTACAGAGAAATAGTGATGAGTTTGATGGCTGATTAGGTGTTGGAAGAGAGAGATGAATCAAGAATAACATCTGGGTTCCTTATTTAAAGTAGTAGATAGATTATGGAGGCACTGACCAAGAGAGAGTACAAAAACTTTGTGGGAAAGAATGAGGGCTCCAGTCCTGAGATTTGAGGTGTCTGTGATACCATCCAATGTGGTATTCTAGTTGATGATTAAAAATATGAACATGGAGTTAAAATTCTGACTTGGTTTATAAGCAGCAGGGTTATGGAAAAACAAATAGTGGTAGGTGGGCCAAAAAATTCCTATTCTCTTTCAGGTATATGGAAAAGTTGTGTGTTCTAGCCTTTTTTTGTTTGGTTATGCTACATAACACATTCTGTCAGTGAATTGTGAGGGTAACATTTATTTGCTGATGCAAGATCTTCCAGAACCCATTTTCTCTTTGCCTTGGCAATCAGTGATGTTCCAGGAACTATATGCTCTATCATTGTTGGTCTTGGAGGGAAGACAATTCAGAATACAGTCCCAACTACCTCATGATGGATATGTAAAGTAAGTGAGAAGAAAAGTTTGTTTTAAGCCACTGAAATTTGAGAGTTACCATAGCTGATCTTTGTCACTCCTGACTGATTGGAATGAGAAAATAAGGTTTAAAGAATGAAACCTTTACTGGGCATGGTGTCACATGCCTATAATCCCAGGGACTCTGAAGGCTGAGGCAGGAGGATTGCAAATTTGAGGAGGCTCAGCAACTAAGCAAGACCCTAAGCAATTTACTGAGAACCTGTCTCAAAATTTTAAACAATAAAAAGGGACTAGTCATGTGGCTCAGTGTTTAAACACCCTTGGTTTCAATCTCTAAAAAAAAAAAAAAAAAGAGTGAAACCTGAGAGTATTAATGGGTTGATAGTCTTTGGACTTGTGAGGAAAGACTCAGACTGCCTTAATTAGAAGAGGAGGGACAAGAGTATTTTTATAGATATGTGAGTATCTATTAGGAATTTAGGCATCTCAAAGGATAATCTTCTTCTTCTTGTCTCTGTTCTCTATCCCTAATCTATTCTCATAGCACCAACTTGCTAATTAATCCTATTCTTATCCTCTAATCCACATTCCATAAGAATATAATCCAAATGCAGAGCCCTTAGCACTAAGCTACTTCTCCAGCTGGCAGCCAACCTGTGGATGGGCCACTCTTGGATGAAGTGCTCATCTTGGTCTAAACAGCACCACCCCTACCCCAAACACCATTCAACTTTCCTGGGCATAAGAGGTTTGACCAGAACAGTGCACACTGCAGTGGGTTATTTCAACTCATGTCTCACCACAATTTATTTTTCACAGAATTGTGAAAGTTAGTGTATTTTATGAGTAGAATCTGCCTGATGTATCTTAATTCACACACATCAACCTACTATGATCAGCCTAAAATCTTTATGTTGCATTAAGGAAAAAAAAAAAAAAAAACTAACTTCTTGCCTGGCCAGAAAAGCCTTTTATGATCTCACTTCTGCCTGCCATTCCTCCCTCACCTTCTGTCCCTGTCTCTGTCTCACACTTGAGCACCGCAGCTTCTTCTCTTTCCCTTGGATTTTCTAAGGTGTCTAACTCAGGATGTTGGACTGTGCCCTTGCTGATCTCTCTTGTTTGAGCACTCTTTTTTAGCTCTTAGAAAGCCTGGCTTTCCTCTTTCATTTTAACTCTTCTGTCACCTCATAGATTACCCATGTCTAAAAGACTGCCCTTTCTACATCACAGGTGTGGTATTGCTTGTTATTTCCTTCACACTTATCTGTAAAGGAACACCTGTGGAGGAATAACTTCGAGGAAGCACACAAAGAACAGTCACAGACACAAGGTATAAGCAGCAGACATAGGTGGAGCAGAGAGAGTGAAGTGAAGAAGTGAAAAAGAAGAAGTACAGAAGTGTCCACTCCTCCCTCCTGCTGAGTTTATTAACTCAAAAAAGGTTACATATTACCCATCACACATGACTACACTCTAACCAGTATTCCTTTAATCCTGGGTGCTAGCTAACTGAGATAAGGTCCAGGTTAATACAAACACAGAGCCTCTCACACCCAAGGACTTTACTATGGAAACCAGGTAGTGCACCCGAATAGTTATCTTAATAGCCTCAGAGGGAAACTGCTGGGCAATCCAATAATGGGAATCTGGGCACCTGTTTGCTCACCAGGGGAATTGCTTCCCTGTCTATTTCCACAGTCAGAATACCTACGCTTATCACCACATACTAATGCCTTATGTCTATTCTTTTACTGTCTGCCTCCCCTTGATAGAATGAAAACACCATGAAAATGGACATCACTCCTGTCTTGTGAACTCGTGTACTCTGATTCTCTAGAATACTTAGTACACTAGATATTTTTAAGTGCATGATGGAGACAGTGAACTCTGTGCTTGTATGCTGGCTGTTCTCTGCTGGCACTCCATCCAGGTTCATTGTCCACCTTTCCTTGGTTTGCTGTGCTTCTAGGAGGTGGACCTCAAGAGCATCAGCTGAGTCTGTCATACTCTTGGTTTCCAATTAGGTTTGAATCATGAGAGGCACCAGCAGAAAACTGGAGGATAGTAGGAGTGAGAGGTAAGGCCTCTTCAGAACCCAGTTTCTCTAGTTTTGGCAGTAAGTGTATTCTTTCATGGCCATGGCGTTCCTGTTTRTTAAGTTTTCAACTCTTTCCCAACTCTGGTACTGATTTCCTGAAACTTTACCATCCCTTAAAACACTCCTTGATTAGACTGCGTTTTAGAGGAAGAGAACCAATTCATATGGGTTTATTAGACTGGTGTAAATCAGAGATTGAAGAGTCAGGGAAACCAATAGATGCTCAGTTCAAGAAGCCAGATCCTCAGAACAAGAGGGACAAATGATGCAGTCCAGTCTGAGGCTGAAGGCCTGAAAGCCCTCTGGTCAGCCACTAGTACAAGTCTGCTTTCCGGGGTGGCAGGATTTTGAGTCTGATGTCCATGGGTGATGGCAGCAGCAAAAACTGTACCCACTCAAGGATTGAATATGCATAAGTATAAGCTTCCCCCTTCCATTTTTTATTCTATCCAAACCCCCAACCGATTGGGGGTGCTGCGCATGTTCAGGATGGGTCTTCCCCACTCATTTCACTTGATTGACATGCTAAACATCTCTGGAGACATCTTCACAGACACACCCAAAATTATACTTTACGCATTCTCTAGGTGTCCTCAACCCAGTCATGTTGACCACCAAAGTTAATGATCATAATTGTCTTTACTGTTTTTTTCCTGCTAGGACCTTGATTAACACAATGTGGCCAGTTAGTACAATCAACACTTGGTTTCACGTGATTTACCCCTCACCACACAGAGAAAGTGGAGGAACCACATTTCAAATTAAAACTAAGTTCATGGATTATGAAGTGGACCAAGAGAAACTATTATAATGGAAGTCCAAGGAAAAAGAAAGTTCTAACAGGAAAGGAAAGATCAATGGTGTCCCAAGGTAGCAAAGTGCTTGTGGTGAGAGAGAGACCAATGAATGTGTCTTAGACATTTCTTTTAAAAGTAACCTCTAGTGCCTTAGGGAAAATACTTTTACTAAAGGGAGAATTACAGAGATTTTGAGAGTGAATAAAAGAAGAAAGAAAGAAAAGAGTGACAACTACAAGGAACAGGGTGAGGAAGATGGGACTATTAGATATTCCAAGTGCTAATTATAAATTGAGGTTAAAAAGCCAGGGGAGTGAGAAGGGTTAAGGGAGGAAATAGTAATGAAACCAGGTTCAAAAGGAGCTAAGAAGAATGGGATTAAGATACTGGGAAAGGATTAGACAGGGGACAAGATGCTTTCTCCAAGATAGAAGGAAAAGATATAGAGTTGAATGCAAATTTACCTGTGCTGTGTCTAATCCTAATGGATTCTGTCACTGAAGAATTTATTTGAATGTGGTTGGGATATAAAGATCATTTTTCTTTCTGCTTTGAGAGTCTGGGACATCATTTCCATGAATTTTCTTGATCACAAACAAGGGTTGATCTATCCTTTCAGTTGTTCACGTGTCACTCATACAATGGGCAAATGTGTCCAGTCTTCTTATTATAGACTTTCCAGTGCACCTCTGATTTGGATGTGTCTTTTTCAACATTGGGAATTAGAAGGGGAAATCCAATCATTGTTAACTAATCACATTTAAATGCAAAATAGGAAAATGCTATTAAAAGCTGTTAGTTTTGGGTAAATTAATCTCCAAACTCTACATTATCTATATTATAACTGAATTTCCATATAATATGCAATATTACC